GTTGTCGAAACTTTTTTGGGACCTGTTTGGGTTGCTCTTTCGACCGGGCTAAGTTTGTTAACCCTAGCGTGGCTGGGGCGCCTGGGCTTTGAAATGTACAGGTGCCGAGATCCTCTTGTGTCCCCTCGGGTCAGTTCTTTTCTCAACAGCCAGCTGTTTTTCAAGGGTTCTTGGTGGTTGTCCGGAAGAGGGAAGTTTCCCCAACATCCTCGGTCCAGAAGGACATTTCTTGCGCGAAGCAGTTTATGCGGGAAGGCCGGGGTGGGGGGGGGGAAGACATTAGCAGTTCCTTTGCCGAAATCAGGTGGTCCGACATGAAATATGGGTTGGGGTGGAGTGTACCGCCTGCAAATTAACCGTGGAACCAACCCAAAAGGCATCATGCTGAGAGGAAGCCCCTTCCGGAGAAAGGACACCCCGTTTTGGATTCCTTCGCTTAATACAGTGCGGCAGCCACCAGGAATCCATTTCGGGTTTGCAATCCTCTCAGAAGCTGCAAGTGTAGCCCCCAGTAGACATTTGGATCACAGACTCCTTCTTTCCCGCAAGCGCGGACACGTTTTCGACATCGCAGACTTCGCGATTTCGGGCGCGGAATCCCCAAGCGACGTCACGACGTCAGATCCTGGTGAGTGGCCCTAGTTGCCCCTGGCAGGGCAATCATGATGGGTTTCCCTCGGTGACCTGGGGTAATTTCATGGAGTCGCTGGCTGCAGAACATGAACCCCTAAAGAGAGTCGCTGCTCAAAGGGAACATGGGATGACCACAGAGTTGGTTGATACAAAGGCTGCCTATGTGGCATTTGGGGATCCGGATGGCTTGGGAAGCACCCTGCAATAAAAAGGCATAGCCATAGGGACAGGAACCCCATTCTGGTATCACTGCAGGGGGCCCGTTTCCGAGCGTGCTCATACTTGCCGCTCGACTTTCGCGCTTTTGTTGTTGCCAGGGTGAAGTTTGTGTACTGCAAGCGAAGGGAGCATGCCGGAGACTCAGGTTTCAATGGACAGATGAACCGGCATCTTCAAACAATCTAGCTACTGAAGTACATGCAGAGAAAGGTTTGAAACCTTATCAATTGCAGCGGTTTTCTGTGGATCTCCCGAACGTTGGGACTTGTTTGGACTGGAAAAGCTGTTTCGAGATTGGAAACCCACTGAACCCACGCTGAACCAACTTTGAACTACTATTGTCATGAAGGTCCTGTGAAAAGTCAAATATCATATGCTGACCTCCGGTCCCGGGTTTGCAGCTTGGGGCGGGGGGGGTGGGGGGGTGGTCCGGATGTTTGGAATTGACAGGGTCCCAAGATTTTCTTGCACAATGGGCCCCCTATTCCAAGAGCTCGTCGCTTGTTTAGTGTTTGGTGCCCTTTGTTTTGCTCGGGGGGGCACCAGACGCCTCAACCTGCAATCAAGCATGGAGGTGTTCTTTTCTTCCGTGTAGGAAAGGATTGGGGGGGGGGTTCCCATCATCAAAACAGCAGCATGCTTGTCAGGTTCATCCCAGAACCTTGGCTTGGGAGCTCTCAGGGAACATTCCAAGTCTCTGGTCAACTTGCGGGAGACATATGGACTCTCTGAATGTCCCTCAAGGCGCAATTTTCCAACCCTCCCATCAACGTAGCAGCATATGTTGACATGTAACAGCAGGTGGCAAGGCAACTAGTTCGTGATTGGTACCCTGCGTGCACACTGGTAGAACCAACAAATGGGGGCCTCTGTTTCGCCTTCCTTCGTCTTCCTCCTACCTCCTCGTGAAAATTCGTATATCCATCACGGCTTTGAGTCTCTTTTCCTTAGGTTCTCTGCCGCTTTCACGTCTATTGCCCGGCTTCCCACCCAAAGTGCCCCAAGGCCCTCTCCCAGTTCCCCGCTCCAAAGCGCCCCAAGGATTTCCGGCGTCCCAAGACGCTCCATGGCCTCCCTGGCCCCGTTTTCCGGGCTTCCCCCCCCCCCCCGCTTTTCCCGGCGGCCGCCTCGGGTCCGAGCGGCGGACCGAGCCGCGGACCGCGAGGTGGCGGCGGCGGACTTCCGGCCCTACGACCTGGAGGTGATCTCCGAGCTCATGGAGGGCGCGCGGGCGCCCGGTCCGATTGGCTCCGATCCGATCCAGTGGACTGGGTGCGGGACGTGTTCTTCTCTGTGCCCTGGAAAGAAAAGTATGCGGACACACGCAAACACATACACATACAGATATAATATATACATATACACGCACCTTTTTGCTTTTCCGGTTCTTGCCCTTTGCATGTTTTGGGACATGGTGGGACGTCTGCCGGGGGGAGGCCTTTGTAGTAGGTGGTCCTACTAACTAGTTCTACTATCTGTTTTCAGTAACCCCTATATCAACCAGAATCAGCATGTACCAAACTTGCTGGTGCCTTGACCCGTACCAAACTTGCTGGTGCCTTGACCCTCAACCATCCAAATGGTGGTTTCCTTCAAGGGGACCAATGGGTTCCTGGGTTCAGTCCAACTCATTCCCTGAGCACCAGCCGCAAAACTCCGGCTGAGTCCAGCGTGGCGACGGCCGCGAAGCTGGGGGAGCACTTCACCATCTCGGCCACCGGCGTGGTGCACGCGGGGCGCCCGAAAAGAAAAAACCACCTTCGGAGGGTGGGACGCGGACAGTTGTCTTTGGATGGTGCCCTTTTACGGTGGCTTTAAAGGGAGAACAAAAGGAGAACCACCTATTTTGAGACACACCCACATGGTGGTGGACCATGTTTTTTGACAGCCGGAAGCTATGAGGTCTCTGCCCAAATAAGCTCGTGGTTGGAGCATTTAGGGGAGAGTTCCAGGTGAAAACGAGGGTGTCGTGTCTGTTGGTATACTACGTGGGCTTATTGTACAAATATGGTTTTAGGATTGTGATGCCCTGCGAGTCCCCTTCAAAGTGCTAAAGTAGTCATGGGAAAGACCATGTTGGTATCACAGAGTTTGGGTGATTTGCCGCCATCATGTTTCTGTGTGCCGAGTGCTGGGTGTTCAGGTGGGTTTCAGGGATTTGTTGAGGCCGGAGACTTGGGGCTTTCTGAATGAGCCAAAGGCTATGGGTGCGTGACAGGGTTTATTTCCTTTTTGTGGGTGCAGGTGATCAAGCACAACCTCTGGTTTGATGAACCGGGCGGGGGGGGGTCTTTGCAGAAACTCTGGTTGATCAACCAGGCAAGGTGCCCCATTTTAGACTGGATTCTGCACTCTTTGTCCCAACTGGCGTCTCAGGGTTCTTTTGGGAAGTGATTTTTATTTTTTGCCCCCGTTTGGTTGAACATAAAGGGACACCCTAAAGAGGTGTTGTGTTCTTTGCGACTACCTGATTGGACCCCGTTGAAATTGGCGGGTGCCAACTAAAGCACACATACGCCTACATCCATATATATATATATATATATACACATCATACATTACATACACGCACACACACACACACATGTATACCCTCCCACCAACTAACATGGAAGTGCAAAAAGGCCCTTTCCAAGAGGAAAGTAGTCTTTTTACAGGGGTCTGTGCACTTCCATGTTAGCTGGTGGGAGGGTATATATATATACATCATGTGCGTACAAATGCAAGGTACACAAAGGGGTATATGAATATATTTGGCGGCATGTACCCTATTGACACACACACGTCCCTTGACCTTTTTCCACATGTTCATTTGGCAGGCACTTGGGGTGAATTCCCTGTACTTGTTGACCATGTTTTTTTCAATCAAATCGAATCACCACTTTGCCTTGGTTTTCCGGCGGGTTGGCTGGGATGTGGGAGGCACGGCGAAGTGGTTAGCAAACCCCGGCTCAGGCCCACTTCACAACCCTTGCAACTGGAGCTTCGGGTTCTTCTGCCTCCATGGGTTTCGAGTTGGTAAAACGAGCGATAGCCATGGGGTTCACGGAAGTTCGATGTCCACCAGAGGGTCCCTGATTGAAGTTCATGCCCAGGTTTGCCCTGGCCAGCAGAGCGAGCACATGTCCCTGGGGGATTGGCCCGGAGCCTCAAGAAGAAAGCTCCGTTCTTGGGGGTGGCTTTTGGATCGAGGGCCACGGCTTTGCGGCTCGATGTGTGTGTGTGTGTGTGTGTGTTTTTTCCACTTGTTTTGCCTGGGAGGGGGTGGGGGTGCTTGGGGGGAGGGCGATTAATTTTTTGGTGTCTTTTGGTTGCCTGCGTGGCTTCTTGCATTTAGAGTGCCTCTTTTCTTGGGATTTGTCATGTGTGCTTGCAGCATCCCTTTTTTTAGCCACTAGTTGCAGTCTTCAGTCCTGAGCTTTGTCGGTCTCTGCACCCTTTCTTGGGTTTGGCCGCTTGTGTTTTGCATGTAAGACAAGCGCAAGACATGATGAACGGCAGGCATGTTCCTTGCTACTTGCAGGTATAGGGCTTCTCTGGTACTTCTGGTGTCGGAGGAAACCGTTGATCAGGGGACTCGACACGCTTGGTTCAAGCGAGCGGAGTTGTGCTTGATTTAATCTGTTTGACAGTCAATGAGGGTGAACTGGGATACTCTGGGAGTCATTTACGCGGCTAGCAGGCCACAGTTAAGCTTTAGAATTTTTTAAGGTCACCATGATTTCCAACCACTCACCCAACTCGCAGACCATCCCAGTCCCATTCATTTTGCGTGTGTGAAACCTGCGCAAACGGGTGACCGAACCACCTTGGACACATCGCAAGTGGCCTTGGATTTCAGCTTGCGGCGCGGATACTTGGCCGCAATCACGGCAACATATCTCTTCGCTGAATATGCCCCTTGGCATCTATAAGGTGCCAACAAATTTCAGATCCACCCCTTACCAAACATGGGGGCTTTCATAGCAAGCTGATTTTGTCTGTTGATGACCCCCAGTAGCGACCATCGGTGGCTGGTAATCAACTGATCCTTGATTTCACCTTCTGGGCCAATCTCAAGTGAGTCTCCTGCATATGCCACACATGAAAAGATCTGAACCCTGCTATTGAGAGACCATTGCTTGCCGCTTGCATAAGTTCGGGCGTCCAGATCTGCCATTTTGGTTCAGAGTTAAGTAGTTTGGCAATCCGCCGGCGCGCCGATTGGCAACTTGGACAGCACGTGAAAAGGCGGCTCAGACAAGGAAGGAGCAAGGGCACGGGGGCGGTTTTCCAAACACCTTCATGGGCAGAGGGATGTTTTTGTGTCCCCATTCTCAAGGCCACCTAAATGAACACCCCGCCCTCGGCTTAATTCACGACAAACATGAACCTGGAATTGGGTGGGACTGAATGTGCGAGAGATTCGTTCTCGAAAGGTGATTCACCGGTTTTTGTGGCGCAGGGCTAAAACCTCACAGAAACAGTCAACCATCTACTGAAAAATGGGGATGCCACACACACAAGAGCCCCAAAATGGTCTCGAACCCTCCCAAAATGGAGCCGGTCAGAGGGTTCCTGGACCGTTTTTCTTGAAAAGGGTCCCTCTAATAGCTTCCATGCTGGTGGATGGGCGGGTACTCCAAAATCCCATACAGTGACGGAATGAACAATGATTGTGGCTCAGTTGGCCATTTGGGTTTCTGCCAGGTATTTCATGGAATTACGAGGAGGCCCTACATTTTTTGTTAGCAATCTTGGTTTCGAATCCGAAACAGTCAAAGGGCTTTCGCACTCGGCTGCTCACTCGAAACTAGGCGGGGCTTGATTTTCTTGGGACGATTTCTGAGAGGGCCACCACAAGTCATCCATCAGATGTGAGATGCAGAAGCCAAGTTTTGTGTTATTTGATGCACTTGCCAGGCGTTTATAGTCGCTAGCGACTGTATATCCCCCAAAATTAACCTGGGAATTGTGAGCAACAGAGGAGGCCACAACCTCAGCAAGGTAAGCCGTAGGTAGATGAGTGTTTCATTGGGCTAGAGCGCCTGTAAGAGAAAGGTCGTGGTTTGGGGGTTGTGGATACCCTCCTTTTGTTTGTCCTTACGAATATTGTTAATTTTTGCTGTGGCCGTAAACAGAATCTATCGCTACTGGGGATATGCACAATCTGGAGATATTTTCATATTTTTCCCCGAGGGCTTAAGCAAATATACGGATAGTACGATCTTCGACATCGCCGAGGAAATATGGATGCTCCGGTGGGGCTGAGCGTGTCCGCCCGCCGCAAGGACCGGGGTTGGCTGTTTTCAATCATCATATGCCTATGACTTTCCATCCTCACAAGTGGCTGCTGGACAGGGAGCCCCAAACGCATATATATATATATATCTTTTCAGCTGCTTGAAATATTTTTGTGGATTGATGGAATAAGGGGGCAAACATATGGGAGCCCTGATTTTCTCTCCATTTTTCGTGTGCGCCGAGGTGCAGAGGTGAGTCCTTCCGTTAAGCAAGACACATACTGCTTTGTTGTTTGCCTTTCCTTTGTTTTGTTGCTAATCGTTCGCAAGGAGGGAGGTGCAGAATGTCAGCTTAACCACAAACCAATGTTTTTGGGGCTACTTTTTGTTTCTTTTTGTTCTTTGCAGTGTGAAATCCCTGTCCACGCCCTGATTCGTTCCGTTTCGATCAGATTTTCCCAGATCTGATTTCGGATTTGGCAACAACTGACTAAATCTTGAACATGCTCATATGGGCTTTTAGTGTATAGACTGGGGTGGTGTACCCTGGGGTTGTACCCTGGTGTGTGCAGACTAGGGTGGTCCCTGAATTTGTACCCAGGGATTTTTTCGGTTTTTGGTCTACCCGCCCCGCTACCCGCCCTTCCGCGCTCAGGAGCGCGGCTCCGAGAGCGAAACCCGGGAGCCGGACTCCGACCGCCTGTCGCAGCCCTCGGTCGACTCGCAGCCAGGCGGAGTCGTGGCGAGGGGCCGATCGCTATCTCACAAGTTAAACCGTTGCTTTAGAGAACAAACTCAAAAACTGGAGTGTTTGGGAGGAGCAGTCTGTGAAGTCCAAGATGGGCCTTTCAACTTAGCTCTTTGGTTTCATTGGAGGCCTTGTACCCTGACAAACAAAAGCTTCTCCAAACTTTTCTGTGCCAGCGAGCGCCTGTACCTTGTGGAAGATGGCTTTCGCTCGCGGATCGCAACAAGTTGAGCTCTTCTTGCGATCCGCGGCTCAGTTCGAGCATAGTTCCCAGGTCTTCAGACTCGACATACTTTTTTTTGGAAAGACACACTCAGTGGTTAGCACAGAGTTTCCACATTTCACCCACGTTTCGTTGGTTGGATGTGGTTGCCAAGCAAGTTTTGTTTGTCAGGAAGTGAACAATTGGGATACTGTAGGAGGCCTCCGAACCGTACATGAATTCTGAAGGGCTCATGGCTTCAATTGACCGATCATCCAGTACGACGGAGCCCGGTTGTCATGACCGTCTTGGAAAATGGGCAAGTTTGGCCGCAGTTGAAGAACGCGAATGCGTCAACACTGGGACTCCAAAGCGGTTGGTGTCATGGTGGTTTCCATTTTACTTTGGATCAAGGGGGGCAACTCGCTTCCCCTTCAAGCCACCATTTCGAGGCGAGTTTTGAGCATGTCGCTCTGATGACCCAGTCATACATGGTCTGATCATGGTTCTGAATGGGTTCACATGTTCCCAAGAAGCCAGCTACAGGAAATCCTGCAGGATATCATAGAGGGCAACTTCTAGCAGAGATTCCGCTTCTGAACAGAATCCAAGATCCCAATAGGGATGTAGGGATGCGCGACTCGCATGGCGTTCTGCTTTTTTTTGGCTTCCCTTTTGGTCGATGTCCTAAATTGGATACCGAGCCTGAGACACAAACACCACCCGGGCGGAGCTTCCGTGGCCAAAATGACAGGCCTGCAGAAGCTCGACGAGGAGGCCTGCGAGACGAAGATGGAACCCATCCCATTAGGAAAGTGGTCTCTCATCCCCTAGGTTCCACGTGCATTTGAAAGGGAAAACCCAATCCCTCAAACAAAACAGGCGGTGCGGTTTTGGTACTTCATTCGAAAGCGGGAGAAAACACCTGAACCGAAACAAGGAATACGCGGTATCGGGACCCGATAGCGAGCGGGAGCCTTTGCACCCAAGCCGGAGTCCGAAATGCCGCTTGCGCCGCTCCGAATTCCTGAGTGCACCTCGGGGATCGTCTCTTTCAGGGCGAATCTGAAATTCGCCCAGATTCGAAAGACACGAATTGGACACACTCGTGTTTCCACATGTTGTGTTGAGGGTTCAGCCATGCGCCGAAGCAGGCCTGCTTTTAAACGGGGCAAGAACTGAAGGTTTAGCTGCTTGATATGTGATTTTCAGATTTGTTTCATGAGAGAGGTTTCCCTTTGGCGTGGGTGGATCTTCAGCCCAAGTGATCAGTGGGTTACCGCCTACAAACAAGTCCCCCAAGAGCCGGCAGTGGAGGCTTTTGACCTAGACCTAAGATACTCACTTGACCATGATTTTCAATAACGAACCACCTCCTAAGTGGTTGGTGGACATAAAACCCCACCCAAATGGTTTCCTCTACGGGGTCCCTTACTAAAATTCACACCCACTTCTGAACTTGGCCGACAGCCCGATTTGCGTCGCGGTATCGGTCGTCAATTAACCCGGGAGTAACCCTCTCTGAGGCAGGCCATTTTTATTATTATTATTTTCCGAGGGTCCCCTGACAAGGGGCGGTTCAAAGGGAGTGGGTTCCCTAGAAATCGTCCGTTTGGCAGCATCAAGGGTCCGTTCGGCACGCGCCTTGCGCTCAAGGCTCAACTCGCGACGGCGGATAGCCTAGCCACCCTCTCCGACAAGGCCGGTTTGAAGGGTGGATGGATGTGTCACAAAAAACAACGGGAACCCCTTCCCCCCAAAGTGGTGGGGTCCTTGTGGTTCCAAACAGGGTGCCCTCAAAAGCCACCGAAATGAAGGTTGAGGGCAGTCCCAGAAACAGCTGACATTCCTAGCTCTCATGGTTGGGGTGGGCCAGATTTTCGCAACCGTGCCTGGACTCCCACGCATCGTTCTCTCGGGTTTCCACTATCCCCGAGGGAAAGTTGGATGTATACACCATGTTAGCGGTTAGGTGAATTTTGTGGAGGGCACGGGAGTGGCACGGATGTCAATCAGATTTGGACGTCAAGCTGGCCCGGTCAAGATCCTATAAACGCAGTTTGGGAGGCGCGTGGTGTATGTGTGTGTGTGTGTGTGTGTGCCAACAACTAGTCCATTCCAATGACCTAGGCCGGGGTTATTATACCTGGGCACTCCGGGTGTGCAAAATTTCCGCCGTTTGGCGAAAAAGCAATAATTTCCGCTGTTTCTTTCAAAAAGCGCTTTTTGACCCAACAACTGCTCTTTTTCAAGATTGCCGCGAAGCCTGTCAGAAAGAGCGCGTTTTGGCCGAGTGAAAGCGCTTTTTGACCGAGGAAAAGCGCTTTTTCAGCACAAGCCCAAGCAAGAAAAAGCATGCATCACTGGGAAAAGCCCGCATCAAGCAAAAGCGCTTTTTCAGCCAAAAAACACTTTTTCTTGAAAGAGCACAAAAAAAAGCACACCTTGGAGGATCCAGGTATGGAAGTTTCCTCAAATAGAGGACTCAACCCCCCTTTGAGAGCTCCTGTCAAACCATCCTAAACAGGCTATGCCCTCCTGTCACCCATATTTCGCAGTCCGCTTTCGCTTCTGGCTCGGGCAACTATCATGCTACAGGAAACATGTTTTTCAGCCCCTAGTTAGGTTCCATGGCAAGGTTGGGGCTTGCTTGCGGTGATGAAGACGTAGACAGCCTTCCCAGCCTGAAAACCAGCGACACCAGGAGGGGAGAAAACTGGCAAACGGTATCCTTCAGTTTCATTTACATTGATTTTGGGTGAGTCAGTCAACACAAAGCTCTAACAGTATGGTCACCCACGAAGAACGACCTCACTTGGGGGCATCTTTCCTGGGCTCGTTTACATATTGAACAAAGCACAGGTTTCCATCAGGCCTCTTCATAGAACATTCGTTGTACTGAGCTTCCCACACCTGTGAATGGTTGCTTCAGCTTCCAGGATCCTGCTATGCTTGCAATTGCACTGTCAGTGTCACTCGAAGCCGATATAGGTGTGTATCAGAATAGGGACCCATGGGACCCCAACAAGTTACGGTTTTCCCTTTGGTTTCCCTTAGAAGAAAATGCAATAAGGCCCTCCTTCAGAAAAGACAGACCCATCTGTACCAGTCACGACCATTCTCCCTCAAAACACGCATACCTCGCTTCACCAACCGGTCCCCCCGCGTCCGAACCGCGTCTCCTGCCAGGGTATAACTCCAGTGACGGTGGACGTGTCGAAGCTGAGGCTGCATGTGAGACATAGGCAAAACATTGCCAGACAATGGCCTCGCCTTTCAACTCGCGGCGTTTTTGGTTTCATTGACGTTCTCTTTCGCTTGATTTCTGGCCCAAAGGAGGAAGAAGGACCTTGCAGAGTCCTCTGGCCCTGGCCAGGTTTGCATTTGTCTAGGACGGCCCCAGAAATCTTGCCTTGAGATTGGTGTTCCGACAATCAAACGCCTTGTTGGGCCTATTGGCCTGTAAGGTCTATGACCACATTTGCGACCATATTACACCGTTTGAACCAAAGCGCAATTCGGTCTTGGCCCCTGCTCAAAGTCTGGAGTCCCAACGTTGTCGGCATTTTAGAGGAACCTCACTTTGGCGGACCTTTCGATACGCAGCTAAGAGGAGTTTTGGGTCGACTCGTTGAATGCCAGGCTTCATTGTGACTCAACAGGGTCCGGTCAGGCAAGCTCGATTTGGTATTGCAGCCCTCTTTTCAATCATGAACATAATCCCAAGGAAGCAAGCATCAAGCCTGCCAGCCACCCAGCAAACAAGCAAACAAGCCACCAAGCCAACACAAACCACACCGCGCCAAACCGCGCCAAACCAGCCCAAGTCGAAGCAAGCCAAACCGGCAAACCGAGCCAACCAACGAGACCGAGTCCGAGTCCGAAGCCTTAGGAAACTGGTGGACCTCCCCCCCGCGGAGCAGAAGCGGCGCGGCAACGAGCTGCTCTCGCTGCTCTCAGAGCCTTGGGTTCGGTCACGGGCGAAGGAATTCCGGCCCTGGACCAAGACCCCCTGAAGATAAACCGCAAAGCGGAGGAATCAGGGGTACAAAAGGGACATCTTGGACTTTTGGGTTGGTTCGATGGATGTTTCATTTTTTTTGGATGGGCCTTATACTTTTTTTGGTGTGGTTTGTTGCTGTTTTGCTCGGGGGATCCCTATATTTCCTGTTTTGGGTGGCTTCAAGCATCACCTTCTGGGCCAGGTTTCAGTGAGTAGTTTTCCCCTTTTGCTCTTTTGACGCATTACCTTGACCGGGAGTTTGCCTCTAGGTGGGGTGATGTTTTGAAGGGAAGTACAGGGAGCTTTTGCTGTGTTGGCTAGGTCTTTTGCTTTGGTTCGATTGATATCTCCCTTCTTGGTTGTTCCCCCCAAATGGTTCCGGGGTTGCTCTTGGGGATACCACTTGGGCTCATTTTTCGGTCTTTTGCATTTTTTGGTTGAATGGGTCACCATTCTTGCTGTTTTGGGGTCATTTGTTTATCCCGAACAGCTGAACGCCCTATCTTGGTTTTGGCCAAGATGGAACTGGAAAGAACATTGCGCATTCGGAGGGGTCCCTAGTTTTGAGGCGCAGCCATGCTTCAAAGGAAGTTCAACAAGGACTTCTTTAGAGCTGGAACTAACTGAGTCTGCTTTTGTTTGAGAATCGATGTGTGCGTGAAAAAGCTCAGAAAACAGGAAAACACACTGGTTGACTCTTGCCCTCGCAACTTTGGCTCGTGTGCAACCAAGGGGACTCAGATCAGGCGAATGGGGTCGCTCCATGTGGTCAAAAGACACCGCAGCATAAGGGTTCAATGAAGAAAACATGTGTGGGTGCTTTTCAGAATAGGGGATCCCTAGTAAATTGGTTGTCATCCTAAACAAGGGCTTCCAATTGGGGGGGAGCGCTAGCTTTGGAAAGTATTGACTCTGGTGTACATGGGTTTGTCTCAAAATAGGGGGAACCCCTACAATGATTGGTTTCATTTTGCTTTTTGCTTTGGACCAACCCCAACAAGGGTGTCACTTAAAAAACCAGACCCCTATGATCTGACGCCCACATTCGGTGACCTTGCTGCTTGCTCAGGAAGGCGACAAGGCGCATCAAGTGCGGGGGCGGGAGGGGGGGAGGGGATGATAGCGCTCCTCTCCAGCAGTGGGACAGATTTGGTGGAGAATGGGGTTTCGGGGAGTGCTACTTTCCGTGAGGCAAGGGGATTTTGACCAGGGGGATTCCAAGCAAGTGAGGATGCCCTATAAGAGAAAAAGAGGTAAACCACAAAAAGCAAACAAAGAACAACTGGGGTTATGAGTCATGAGTCCTGGGTCAACAGCATCAACCCAACAAGCACCGCGCAGAACCACCGCCTCTCAGGCCCATATTCTTTTCCGTGTTCTGGGCTTTTCAAAACAAGGTCCTCTCTGTTTTCAAGTCCCAAGACTATTCGGTGCCCGTTTTCCTGATTACTTGGAGAGGGGTTCCCTTTAAACGCTACCAAAAAGAGCCTGCCCTTTTTCCCGAAGGCGACTTGTCTGGTTCACCCAACGGTAGAAGACACATCAGGAGCCGCTTGGAGCCGGGAAGAGGCGGAATTCGTGCTATGCCGGTTGGCAAGCTTGGCAAAGGGGACGTTTCTCCCAGGGGTTTGCTTTTTCCGCAAGAAGCGCAGCCTTTTGCTGTTTTAAGGGGAACACAAACGACAAGTTTTACGACAAAAGCCAAAAGGACACCACCCCCCTGAAGGAACCGGTCCACGATTTTGGGAAATAGCTAGCCATGTGCCATTGTGGGAAGCTGGCTTTGGAGGACATTTCCCCGGATTTTACCTTTCGGGCCAGGGTGAACGCTGACAATCCTCCTCTTTCCGGTCCAACTTTCTCAGCCAAACAGGGGGTTACCAGGACGGAGCCAAACCAGGAAACACTGGAAGAACAGAAAGCTACTCGCGCTTCCCGGAGGCGCCAACGCTGCCCAACCTGCCGCCCCCACCGCAGATGAGGCCAGGTGATTTTTTGACCCATGGCGTTTTCAGGGGGGTTATATGTATATATGTGTATATATATATGTATATGTGTATATATATATATATGTATATATATATATGTATATGTATATGTGTATATATATATATAAACACGTATTTTAGTGATTCTTTCAAAAAGAACAAACAACATATACCATTTTTTTCCCTCGCCGTAGGGAGCCGTTGCAGCCTAGTGACCTGTTGACCTTTTCTTTGCCGCTCTGGCTCAGAACTCATGTCGGATAAATCAACATAGCGGCGAAGATGAAGACACCCCTGGCTGATTAGCAGGGGGGTGTTCCCTTTAGTGGGGGTTTATCATCTTCGGAGGGAACACCCCGCTTATAATGGGATGGGTTTATTAATTCGGGGTCAACATTAGACCAACACGATACGACCATTTTGGGGCGTGTTTAGATGGACAAGAGCCGCTGATGCGGGGTGTATGTGGCCTGAAATTGACCATGGAAGGGGCATGTGAGTACTCAATCCTCCAGAATTGGACAGCGACAAACCGGGCAAAAAGTACTGGCTTCCGCCAGATTTCACTTCAAGAGCCATCTACAAGAACCAGAACACCCCCAACGGGACACCCCACGTGTTTAGTTGGCAAAGAAGGCAAAGCGAAGAACCAACCGTTGCTATTCTTTGGGCTTCTTCAATTCTTTCCGTTGCACATTTGGTTGGCCTCTCGTTGTTGCTTGTACGGGCTTGTTTGTTGTCAGATTTCTTCATCTCAGAACAGGCGCCTTTGCTCGTCCACCTTTTTGTCAACCGGGACAAAAAAAGAGCCTCGAGGGGCACGGAAAGCCAACCGGTATACTGACTTTTCATTGCCCTCCGGTCCACTGACATGGAACTCATGAGTTTTCAAAGGAATGTGGTCTGCGGATGGGAGGGTAGTCCTTTTGCTCAAGCACCAGAACGTGACCAGCAACGCATTTGATGAGCGGTATTTTGTGCTCCGGAATCGAGGTCGCCCTTCAGTTCCTACGCCTTCAATGCTTCGGGGTGCCAACCACATTTTACTCGGACTTGCCAGGCGTTTCTCAGGGCGGGGGGTACTGCTTTCAATAGGGGCAGTTGTGAGGGCCTTCGCCCTCTCACCAAAAGGCGAGATTGATAAGGCTGCGGCGGTGGTCTGAGTCTTAAGCCCTTGGAGCTTTCTGTCCGAAGCTGTGTATTTCAGCACCATCTCAGCAAGTTGTGTTTTTGGCATAGGCCTTTTTGGCGGCTCGGTCAGCATCTCAAGTAGTCAATGGTTAATTGAGGCACATGTGGGCTCACTGAAATGTCCCACACACACACACACACACAAGGGAACCTATTCACTCCCGCGTGTTCCCATGCATTTTTTGGGCCACGCCACACATTTGGTCCTGAAACGCGTTGCGGGTCGTTGTCGGGCGTGCTACTTTTCTCGCCAGGAAGCACGAGGCCTTTTTGGACATGGGCAAGGCGGGCCGCGGGCTCTTGCGGGCGGGGGGGAAGGGCGGGGGGGGGGGCAACAGGGTGTTGGCTCCAAAAGTAAAGGAAGGATTCCCACCAAAAGGGGACGCTAAAAATCAGCCGTCTGGCGTTAAATTAGATGGAACATCAGCTGAAACCAGGGCCATAGATTTTCAGAGCTGACCATGGAAGCCTCTGAGGCTCCCTGAAAGCGGACGGAAAAGATGAAGCCCTTCTTGGTGAAAGTCTCACTATTTTGTGCACGTGTGGTATCCATTGCTTGGGTATGCTAACTAATTCTTACTCACAAGGGAACCGGCGTGGGCCCGCGAGAGACTTGACCGTCGGGGAAGGCTAGTTGAAGTATTTGATATGGAAAGTCTTTGTATGACCCCTTCCAAACAGAATCGGGCAATCCAACCTTTTGACCGTATATTCCAGGCAGGATTAGGTGCATTGTCAGGATTAATTGGAGTCACCTTCGAGCATTGGTTCGACTTCCGGCTCCGAAGTTGACACGGTTTAAACAGTCAGGTGTGTTTCAAGCATGCTCCAAAAAAGGGGCGCCCCCCCCGGCAAATCATTCAGGGGTGCTGCTTAATCTGAGCGGAAACCTCGGGGGAAACGAACTCACCTTATGAAGGTGCCTTACTTGAGTAGGTTTGTGAACTACAATATAAAGAGACACATCCTTGTCAAATGGATGGTGTCTAACCGCACGAGGTCTTATCACCCTCACTTTTAAATTGGGAACGCGCGAGACTTCGGGACCTTGTTGGCAGAAACCAACTGAAGGGTGTCACACAAAGGGGCAACCATTTCCCAAGTGCTATTCTATTATTACAGGAATTTTAAACGTAACGAAGATGCTAAGGTACATTTCATATGAATCACATTCCCATGCAGAAAGTGGCCACCATTTGCTCCATGAATTTAGGAGTCCAGGGTTCCTTTTGACGGCCTCCAACGCTCCACCTGCGATCGTGTTTGACAGTTGTTTTTTGCGCAGAAATATGCACCAACGGCCAGTTGGACCCAGTTGGTCCGGTTGGCCCAACTGGAAGTATGGCTCATGTGAGAATCCATTATTGTTTTCCTCTAAATACCAAGCCAAACAGAGAATCCCCACCCTTCTGCAACAAAGATATTTTCCTTCCGCCAGGCGTGGACCAAGAAATCCGCTGCTCCTTGGATGTGGGTTGGGGATTTGTCTCAGCTGCTTTTAGGTGATTCGGTTCCTGCCTGATTTTATGGGGTATTGTACGGCGTATGACCTTTTATAAAGGTAGAACCAACAGTTAGCCTTTTTTTTGGCGCTGCTCAGGCCAAGAACCCCAACAGGCCATGAAAACGCGTTTCCGTCTCAACTCATGAAGGGGTCGGATCTCGTGAGAACCCACTTAACGGGTCAACGGGTCACCCAACCTTATTGCTTCCCTGAAGAAACGACATAGATATTCGGATTGATGGATGTGAGTCGAGACCTTGAATGGGTGCTTTTTTGTGGCTTTACAAGAAAAGGTATGCGCAAGTTGAGACAAGCAGTTCCTCTGTTGTTGATCCAAGATCAATACCCGATAACCCCTCTTGTTGATTGATAGGGTCCTCCTTTAGAGATAGGCACCCCCCTACGAATCCGCCAGGTTTGGCTGCAATTCGGGGTGAACATAGGGAGACTAAACGCAGGATGTGAGTCCCAAACCTGCTGGCCTCTTGTACCGCACCAGAAGGCCTCGAGCGAAAAGTCGTTTGTCAACGCCTGCAAAATGGGCGGCTTCCCTTTAGCTTCCCTTGAAAACAGCTTCAGAACGGGCACTCCCACCTCCCCCCCAATTTCAAAGCACAATCAACAATGGGAAGTTTATGAGATCCTCACCCCCAAAAGTTGCCAAGGGAGGTTGATAAACCTTCCCCAGCTGAGTAAGGCCGCAAGACAGTTGGGGGGAAGGCATTTGTTATCCCTCTCCTTAGAGGGAAATCAACATGAGATGGTGAAGCAATAGCCGGTGTTATTTTCAGGCTTAGACAGGGTTTGGTGCACTCTACAATGGGCTTTGTATGTCTTGGCAAAGATCCTTTGTTCTTCGTTCGGCCACTCCACTTGGGGAATGAGTAGCTAGGTGGAGCACACAAATTTCAGGCTCAACCCTTCGACTGCTTTGAGAGTCATGCTGACCCTGGCTAAGACACACATCCTTTTCAACACTTTGTGACATGCTGCATGCATGCGGTGGGCTTTCAGCGGAACACATCCCCAAGAAACCAACATCTGCTTGTTGAAAAGAGGGTGTCCTAGTGGGTCCTTTACTTTTTGCGAAAACCAACAAATCTTGGTGCGGGGTCAACATTGGCAAGGAAGCAAAACCGGACCTCCCCAGAAAAGTTCGGTCAGAACCCGTGCGCCTTTTTGTGGCTTAGAAGTGTCGCCTTTTCGACCCCCGAACATGGGTGCTCTTCCCTTTTAAACCCACCAAACAACGAGTACCCTAAAAAAGAAAGAAAGAGAGACCGCCCCATCTGAAGCATCGCTTGAAATCCATGGAATCCGTGAAATCCCGGGTGTCCGCTCCACGGTGTCCCAGCCGATAAGGAGCCCTGGGAGCCTTCTGGTCCCATCGCCGGCGACCTGCGCTGCTCGGATACGAAGCGGAGCCGTGGATCCGCCCTGCTCGGATCCCATGTTGGAGCTATCTTTGTCTTTTCCAGGGATTCTTTTCCTGGTGGGGGGAAATGGCACCATCTTGGTGTTTACATTTTCTAGTTTTCTATTCGCCTTTGTCCCTTGCAAACCAGCCAAGCGAGCGGGGGAGCTCTGTGGGCCCAAAGTGAGTTTGCACTTGCGCGCAGAAACCGTTTCCGCGGAGTACGAGCACGGGCTGGGCGAGACATCAAAGGGGGTGGGGAAGAACCGGTGGTATTGCAGGTCGCTCACATGCCCCAGCGTATTGGGACCGGGGATGGCTAGATGCTTAATTTATTTTGATGTCTGTTGATCGATCTCTTTTTCTCGGGGATCCATTTCAACATCGGGAAAGGGACTGTGACCCGCAATTGCTGACTGTTCGCAAAACAAGCGGAAGGGAGCAACAGACAGGAGCAACTGGTATGCTTGAACCTTTCTCTGGTTCAAGGTTTTCCCCAACAGACATGGGATCAACCTACCAAAGCCAGGGGCGCGGGTTGGGGTAGATTGATCTGTTGCAGATACCTCCTCACACCCTTGGATGTGAACTTCAGAAAATGAACCAATCTTGTTCCGAGTGGAGGCTTTGTCTGGACAGAACACCAGATTCCCAGAAAGCGAACTAGGGAGTCATGCAAAAACCTTTGATTTGGCGGAGGTGAGCGACGCAAGACGTTATTTCATAAGGGTGTACTTTTGCTACTAGCAAAGTGGACAATGCTGATTGACTACAGACAGCATAGCTGAGTTCAAATAGACATTTTTTTGATTGCATTGGCTTGTGTATGAGCTGAGCTTTTAGTGGTTTAATCCTGGGCAGCCCCGGCAAACATCGCCATCCATGGTTACCAATCACATCTCGCGATCACTCGACAGAGTTTGTCAGCGGAGTGCTCAGGCTGCATTCCCGCAGAGCAGTCATCATACCAGTGGGACATGTCCAGCCCTCAGTTTGTGAGCTGCCCTTGGTGGCTTGTTCCTCCACCAGGCAAAGAGGGACCCTGCTTTGAGGCATATTCATGTGTGGGAACCTCTTTCAAGGAGCTTGAGCGAACCCATCCCATCCCGCCACAGCCCATAGACCGTGGCGGTGGTTCAGGAAAACCTGATTTTTTTGGGACGGAACATCCAAATTTCCACAAGGGGGCGGATGGTTCAGGTTCCCTTGCAAGGGTTCTTATCCTACATGCTGGCATTACGGGTCAATCCCCCCAAAAACCATCGGATCAAGCAGATTCCCTGCGAGCTCAGCTTGGGGCAACCATACCTGCTCAATGTGGCAAGGAGATGGAGGGACTCGCTACTGCAAAGTTCCAACCTAGCGACTCACAATTTTTCCATGTTCTTTACGGTAGCCGCATATCCTGACAGTGGCTCATGCCGAGGAAACCTGCAGGGAAAACAAGTGCACTCAGGTCGTGGGACAAGTCGCAGATGGTGCTACCGCAGTCTTACGGCGGCTTGGCTAGTCAGGCTGTTCAAAGGCAATCCTGAATCCTTGGGCTACGAAAGCGGTCCCTGTTGTAGTTGTTTCCAATTAGCTCTGCATTTTGAACAGCTCGGAGACTCAAGGTCGATCTTGTCCAGCACCTCAACCGGGTGTACTAACCTGGCGGCCCCAATGGCTGAAAGAAAAACATACCTCCGTGGGCCACATACCGGTTGCAGGCGATCTTCATTTTCCGCTGTTTCAACGTGAGGGTTACATGGATTTGGGTAAACTATTATACCGAGTGTTGTCTGTGGGTGTGGGTCAAAACTAAATCAGTAGGGGCCCGCAGGTTTGAGTCCATGTTTCCATTTCGGCATTTGGAGCAAAACCCGCCGCCGGAACGAATCGCTGCGCCGCTCAGGCAGCGGATTCACCGAGTGCGACGCGGATGCACGTGGTTGAGCCGCGCTACCACTGGGTTTTCTCAGAAAAGACGTTGATGGGTTCTTCTTAAAACAGACAAACACACACACACACATCCTCATAGGTGTCCTTAGGCTAGTTTGACTGGAAATAGATGGTTTCCATCCCTCTTTTTTGTTAAACCCAGAGAGGGCAACCTCTGCACCTCGCCCCCGCTTGCGCGAGGCCTCAGCCGGGAGCTGGTGCCAGTGCTCTACGAGGCGGCGCACCGCGCCTTTGGGCCTGGGCACACCGTCCCTCGGCCTCGGAACCCAACCGGGGCGCAAGTTGGGACCGCAGCTTGGGCTGGGTCAAAGGATGCTAAATATATTTTTGCATATACACAAGTACGCATAGGATATATATATATATAGAGTGGTTTTATACGTACGTACATACATACATACATGCATACATACATAGATGCATACATACATACATACATACATACGTACGTACGTACATATATTATATACATACATACGTACCTGCATGCATGCATGCATGCATGCATGCATGCATGCATGCATGCATGCATTCCTACATACATGCATACATGCATACATACATACATACATACATACATGCATATACATACATACATGCATATACATACCTACCTACCTACCTACCTACCTACCTACCTACCTACCTACCTACCTACCTACCTACCTACCTACCTACCTACCTACCTACCTACCTACACATACATACATACATACATACATACATACATACATACATACATACATACATACATACATGCATACATACATACATACATACATACATACATACATACATACATACATACATACATACATACATACATACATACATACATACATACATACATACATACATACATACATACATACATACATACATACATACATACATACATACATACATACATACATACATACATACATACATACATACATACATACATACATACATACATACATACATACATACATACATACATACATACATACATACATACATACATACATACATACATACATACATACATACATACATACATACATACATACATACATACATACATACATACATACATACATACATACATACATACATACATACATACATACATACATACATACATACATACATACATACATACATACATACATACATACATACATACATACATACATACATACATACATACATACATACATACATACATACATACATACATATACATACATACATACATACATACATACATACATACATACATACATACATACATACATACACACATACACACATACACACACACATACACACATACACATATACATACATACACACATACACATACATATATATATATATATATATTCACATAGACATATGCATATATGCATGTATATGCTACGTTCCCCCCTCCACCTGAATTGCCCCCGTTTTGCATGACCTGAGCAGACAGACGTGTTTGGATTGTTTTCACAGTTAGATTTCAGCGGGCACAGGTAGGTGCTGTCCATCATGGCAGGAAGTAGATGATTGTTTTGCAGGACTTGTAGGGGGAGTTTTGAGAGCCATCTTGGATTTATGACGGCCCCTCCCTGTGAGTCGTTTGCTAAGGTATTTGGATTTCTAAATACCACACTTAACTTAGATCCAGGATCCAAGATCCAAGCAATCTTGGATGCATGGCTCCCCCCCTTGAATTCTAGATACCGTATTTAGATTTCTAAATACCGCATGGGCATCCTAGATCCAAGATTGCTCTGACCCATCTTCCAGAGATCATCTTGGATCCAGGATCTAAATACTTGGAAATCCAACGATCCAAGGTTGCTCCCGAAAGCCCATCAATCCCGAGTCCTGGATCTAAATGAAACTTTGAATGCCATATTTGGAGTTCTGGTATCTCTCCCCTCCTCAGTGCCCCTTTCTGTCGCTCTTTGTTCAACAATTTCTGAACAAGTTGCTAAAATAAGGGAACATCGGGGAACCGGAGGCAATTGGGGGGGCGTAGCATACACATGTATATATGTATATACACATATGTATATATATATATATATACACACATCTATACATGTCTTCTTGTCTCTGGACGGGAGTTGGATCTTTAAGTCAGGCTGAAGGATCTTTGTGCTCGTGTTTTTGGGGTGGGGGGGGGGGGGTGGCGGGGTAGCAAGGCTAAGGTTAGGTTGGCATTGAGCTTCTTGGATCCAAGAAAATTTGACCTGAGCCACAATCAAAGCCCGGGCAGATGAAAGTAGTGGACTGTCAGAATAAAATTACCGGCAACATTTGGTTCCTTTTGGGTGGTTTCATGTTCATTTTTGTTTAAATCTTTTTTTTAGCCTCCGCGTTTATCAAAAGCCAATAACTTTGTTACCCTTTTGCCTCAAAATGCTCGGATCCCCATAGCGTGGTTCTCTTTTTTAGTTTCCTGAAAAAAAAACAACCCAAAAAAGGGGGGCTCCCCCAAGAAGAGGACACACGCCTCGGTTTCGGCTGGAGCGACCACAATTCCCATCGTACGGTTTTTTGTCATTGGAGCCAAGGCCAATGTGCAGTGCTTGCCGGACGCTTCAGGCTACGAGGCGCGCGGGTGATTTTTTTCTCACGAAGCCTGGAAGCAGGGGAAGCTGGGTGGTGGGGTGGAGGATAAAACGAGGGATTTGGCCGTGAGGTGATCCTGTTTTTGTTAGATGCAACTCTTGTTTCAGGTTTTTTGGAACATATTCTATAATTTCTGCGCCGGAGATGGGGTGACAAAGGGCTTTGCCAGTTATGAGTAACAATCAGCTGGCACATGGAAGCCCAATAGTGGTCCACACATGTCGTATGCTGACTGATTGTTCCACACTGTCGCCTCCTACCAGTTGAGCAACCATTGCTTCTAGCAGGCCCTTCTCATCCTCCGTTTCTCCTTGTGTGTTTCCTGAGCAACAACCCGGTGGATGATATTCAAAGGTCACTCTAGGGGAAACTTGGCCATTCCGGGATCGGACACCTGACAAAAACGGCTCGGTCGTTGAACAGAGCGATGGTTGAAATGAATGGAACGCGACTCAAGTGGCACCAACTGACATCCCCTAGCCTCCAAGTAGGCCTTAACTAGTGGGGGGGGGCTGTGAGTGTAATATCACTCAGGTTTTGTTAGACGTGGCCCGTTCAGTTGCAACTCGGTCTGTCTTTTGAGAAGCCCTGAGGCAAACAAGGTTTGGTTCGAGTGCCCCGTGCCGGACCGGGGAAGAAAACCATAGGCCTGCTAGAATCCTCCTCAACATATAACTCGATTGGGCTGCTCTGAACCCCCCCGCCAAACTCCTTTTTTCGTTGTGCGTAAAAGAACACCCACAACCACCCGCAAAAGCCTCACCGACAACACACCAACGCCCACAGAAACAGAAAATGATACCACAACCTCCAAAACACCAACCCCAAGAAGTACCAAAACACCTTCCAAACCCCCCCAAAACAAAGAAGCCACACAGCAGCCGCACCCAGCTAGACGCCCCGCCGGTCTGCAAGCACCCCGCAGGTCTTCGTGCAGGGCGCTGCCGCCCAGGAAGCTGAGCTCCGCGGGGACGCGCTGCTGGAGGACGCTCGTGGGTCGTTGGGGTTGCCAAATGGTCGTGTGGCTCAAACATGGGTTTTGGTCCAGAATCGAACCCTGGACGACAACCTGCGTAATTTGAGCTGTTGAAGGTTGAGCCACACCCAAGTCGCTGGTCATTTGTTGAATGGAAGGGGGAATCTAGTTGGAAGCCTGTTGGATGGCTGGTCTTTAGTGTGACCTTAGCCCCTTGGAGCTTTTGAAAACAAATGCTTGCAGCAACCTAGATGAAAGGGAGAAATTGGTATGTGACTTAAAGTAGTGATTTGGACCCAGAAACATGGATTTTGGTCTGCGTTTTGGTTTCCCGAGGCTTCGCCTAGAGAGCTCGGTCTTTTGCCCCATAGGACTCCCTGTTGAGCTGCTTCGACTTGGGGTACTCGATTCCGACCCCTTTGAGGTTCCAAGTGGGTCCGAGCACTCAGGTCAATGTGGGTAGCATGTGAAAGACACCTATTCAGTGGGTCGACCTGGCCCTTTTCGCGGGTTCGAATTACTTGGAAACACCAGGGTGTTCATTGTATGGCACAATTCCATCGGGAAGATTTCAGGGGATGTCCCGATTCGCACGAGACCTTTGCTTTGTTCGGCTCCTCTGAAGGGCAAAACCTCGTCATTCCTGTGTGCGCGTGTGTTTTCAGTTTGTTTTTGTGTGTTTCAGGTTCTGGTCATTTTATGTGGGTCTTCGTTTTCTGTGTTTGAGTCAACCCATGGCCCGGTTCAGGGCCGCCTGGCCCGTAGCCTGCCATGCTTCAGGCACTAGGCCGGGCCCTCTGGCCGCTGCTCGGCGATCCGCGGGGCCCCCGGACTTCGGTCGGACCTGTCAGGTGTTTCAAGGGCTTTGGGCTCCAAACCAACGGGGGGCGTCGTTTTGGGGCGTCGTTTTTTTGGAGTTGGGGTCGTTGTTTTTTGAGTTGAGTAGCCCGTCAAAGGGAAGAAAGCCACAGTGAAAAGCACAAAGCATTCTCCGGATCCAAGCCCCGTTCCTTGGGCCTGCCTTCCTTTGGAGTTGGTAGCTTTTTGCTTTGTCGGGAAGCCAAAAGGAGCACTGAAATCCATGGAGGGATCCCTGAAAAAATTGGAACCACGCATCCAATCGGAGAGAAGCAGAAGGGTTATTGCTTTCTGGTCCAAAAGTGCTTCTTTCTTTATTTCCTACCGTCGGGGGGTTGAGGTACATCGACATGAACCGACACCTGGACTCCGCCTATGGATCCAATAGCTACCGCCTCATGCTCTGGCGCTCCGGTGAGGCCCGAGCAGGGAGAAGCCACAGGGGTCGGACTCGAAGGGCCGCCATCGGATGAAGCGCGTCCTCATTTGGGGTTCTGCTTGGATCTGGGCTTAGGCTTCACCCCATGGTGGGGTGAGGCCATTTTTTCTCTTCTCTTTTTTTTGTTCTGGAAAGCATCTGGGAAGCAAAGCTACATTGGGGTTGACCCGATGAAAGTGCTCAGAAAAAAGCGCGGCCACGTTTCTTTTGTTGGCGGCCGGTCAGATTGTTTAGCTTTAGGACGGATTCTCCAACTGAAGCACCACATGGTACCTTTGCAGTGGGGCCCAGAAGACTACCGAGCTTCAAACGGCCGCACCACCCGTATGTCAGGTTGGGGCTTTTTGCAGGAGAATCCGGTGGCACTTTTAAAAGGGCCAGAAAACGGGTTCATGCTTTTTGATTCGTTGGAAGACAACCTAGATGTACATGTTGGAAGGCAACCTAGATGTCTTTGTGCGAGCGGCGCTCCAAAAAGCTTTTTTTTGTAAACATAAATGTAATAATTGGCTTGCAAGGGGAACCAAAAGAGAGGTTTAGAGGCATATCAGAAGTGTCTTTAAACTATGGGCCACCGACTCCTTTTGGTCACAACTCTAAAAGAGGTACCCTCAAAAAAACACGTGCGTGTATGTACCATGGGGCTCCTGTGGGTTTTTCGCGGTTCTCCGGTTTGGGTCTATCCAGGGTGAGGCGGCGGACTCGCGGCGGTGCTGGAATTATGTGAGGCGCGCATCGCTGGGCTTGTCTCTTCGGTAAGAGGAGTCTCTGGGTCGATCATGGGAGCTTAGGGGGTTGGGAGGGGAGGGGGGGAGGGGGGGGAGGGGAGGAGGAAGCCCAGTTTAATTGAGCCTGAATAAGGCCTTATTTGGGCCCCCAGCCCCCATGAGTGAAGGTTCTCTTAGCTCTTTGCCCTTTGCAAGAGACGAGATTCAATCCTAAGGGTTGACCATTCCCCAAGGTCTTGGTGGTTGCTTTCAGGGTTTCGGAGGCCCCAAGTCTTTTTTTTCAGGGAGCGGCTGGCCAGGGTTCGGCTGAGTTCCGGAAGGGTTGGGGATGTCACCTGGACGTATTTGTTTGCTCGACGTTCCAGGAAAATCTTGCCAGTTTGGGGGAGAACATTCGAGGGAAGCTTACCAAGGAAAGTTGTTGCTTGGCAAATCAGGGGAAATTCCGTCAGGGTACATTCGGGGTATATACTCTTTACACAATGGCCATATACAGGGTGCAATACCCCCCCAATGTTTTCAAGGGTGATTTTTGGTGGTGAAGTTTCTCTTGGAATCATCGAGTGAGCGGTTAAGGCCTGATTTGGCGTGACCAAAAGAACCTGGACAGAAAGGAATTCCATCACCTTTCTTTATCCTCATGCTATTTGAGGCTAAAGACAGGTGATCGCCTTGTTAACTGAGGATCAAGCAAGGTCATCAAATTTGAGGGAAGCCCACTCTGCCTCTCGTGTTTAATGGCCCTGGCTTTATAGGTTGGGGCTGGGGATACTTAGCTCCCGCGAGAAAACGAACACCTGCTGAAAAGACTCGGGCTTGAGGCTTTGTTTGGCGGGAGGCCAACATCAACTCCGGGGTCGGGAAGTACTGAACTTGCGCCATAAAAGCTCCTCACTCAGCTCAAGATGAACTCCTGCCATTTAGGCCGTCATTTTGTGTTGCACAAGGGTACAACTCTGACACCTTTGACAAGCTCCCGTGTGGAAAAAGCTATGGCAACTTCTAGCGCTCCTGAGTTTTGATTCCTATCACCGATCACACGACCAATTTGGCGGCGGTTTCCACCTTTGTTTTCACTCGCTGGGTGGTACATGTCCCCTTTCAAAGGCAAGACATGGCAGGAGCTCGTGTTGTGATGACACCTATTGCGGACACAAAAGGGTATGTCAAAGTAGGGGCACCTGGACCCGCACACGCACACGCACACGCACACGTACACGCACACGCACACGCACACGCACACGCACACGCACACGCACACGCACACACACACACAACAAGGCATTCTCACTTTGACACAAAACACCGACTAAGAGGAAGCTGATTTTAAGCATGATTCTTTCTCCTTTTTCCACAAAACCAACGGAAGAACAAAGAGGACACCCACCATGGTCTTTGCCTTTTTCCACAAAGCCAACAAGAAGAAGCATATCAAATTCCGCTTGGCGCCCGTTTTGGCCCCACGTCGCTGGCGCGGGCGTCCGGCGCCCTCGCAGGCACGGCAGCTGCGCGCGGGGAGACGCCTGCCGCTGGGCCCATGCCATGCCCGAGACCTTCGGCATCGGCATCAAGGAGCGGATGTCGGTGTTCGCCCAGACGGGGCGGTGCTCCCCGGGTTCAAAGGGAAACATACAAAGCACTGGGGTCAAAACCCATATGTTTGAGGACGCGCACTTTTTGGACTTTTTAATTTGGCCATGGGTCCGAACGTATGAGCGGGTCTTTGTTTGAGAACACCTTTTTTCGATGGTTTTAAAGGGAAGCCAAAAGGAAAGCCGAGAAATTTTGGGGGTCCAAATTCTAGAGAAAAAAACAAATGAGTCAGTGAATTTTGGATATCCCGAAAGAGCCTCCTTTCAAAACTTGCCTCTTGCTCTTTCCACTAAAATATGGGGGCCCCGTATTTTGGGATGCATCCATTTAACATGACTCGTTTTTGTGGTGTACTGCAACCGAATCGCCCCAAACGGATCTTTTGGACACAAATAGCTTTTCGCGTTAGAGCTGTTGCTCAGGGGGGAAGAACAACGCAGTAGATAGCCCATAAAAATGCGATGCAAATCTAGGAAGGGCCTTCTTCCCTTCCCGAATTAGCAGGGATCTGGGTGTGTCCTTTTTGAGGGTACCCTTTCTTGTGTTGTTTAAAAGACCAGGAGAAAGCCGCCATTTAGGGGTGTATTTTAAGACATCCCACAAACCTCAAGCCTAAGGCGAGGGTTTTGGGTCGACTGGGGGATTTGGGAAAGTTGGATTTTGCTCGTGACTGGAGCCTCCAAAATGGGTGCGCTTCTTTTGGGGGCCCTTTTTTTTGGGGACCCCCAACAATATATTTATATATATATACATATAATATATATGTACCAGTCCCTGGGCCACGTACCCCCCCCCCCCCCCCAATGGTATGGTCCCCCCATTCCCCCGCATCATCCGCATCTTGGGGATGATGCTGGCAATGCTGGGGATGCTGTCCAGTACCGTGCGAGCCCTGCAGCTTCGGTCCCAGACCCCCTTTCACCCCGTGAACCAACACTCCCGCACCTCTCGCAACATCCTACCCTAAACCAAACCACCCTGCAACCCCTCCTTAACCCCAACCCGAAGCCAAAATCAACCCAAAACCCAAACCCACCCGAAACCCACCGCAAACCAACCCTGAACCAACCCTGAACCAACCCTAAACCAACCCACCAAGCCTAAACCAACTCCGAACCACACCCCAACCACCCAACCACCCAACCACCCAACCACCCAACCACCCCACCACCCCACCACCCCACCACCCACCCCACCCCCCACAGGGGGGGGGGGGGGTTGGCCCAACCACCCAACCACCCAACCACCACCCCACAACCCCACCACCACCCCACCACCCACCCACCCCACCCCCACAGGGGGGGGGGGTTGGGGGGGGGAGGGGGGGGGGGTCCACGGCCTGGAACATATATATATATATATACATGTATACATGGCGGTTTTCCTTTTGGTTGTCCTTTAAACCGACCCACAGACCAACCTCAAAAGGGCCTCACCGAAAGCAAAGGCGGGGCCCATAGAGTTTAGAGGAGAGTGACATGTGAGTTCGGCTGCGCCGCAGCCGGGGCCGGGAGCTCTCGCACTTGGAGGGGGGCCGGGGGCGTAGTGGGACTCAAGCCTTGGGTTCTGAGGGCGCGAGGGAAGGACTCGCAAGGAGTTTTTTTCAGTCCCCGTTTTTCATTCCAGTTTTGCGGTTCGGTGCAGGCGCCAGGCACTTGCCTCTTCCTGCCCGTTTGTAGCTGCGTTTTGTTCTTGGGCTTTCAAAGGGACTTGATGGCAGGAATCCTTGTTTTTGGATAAAACCCTTCTGGACTGGGATTTTTGACCCGTCATCCGGACTAAGCCCTTTATATTTCCATGACGGCCTTGTGCCAGGTATCGCCAGTGCGTTATGCCAAGTGAGAGTCCGTCCAGGGTGGGTCGCATGTGCGCAGAGAGCCGCTCTTTCGCGCAGGGAAAAGGGGTGGGTGCGAAATACGAAGCCTAGGGGGTCCATTTTTGGGTTGTTCCCCAGAAGTCGACTTAAACCCAACTGGATCGGCTGTTTTGTTCCCAGCTTTGCCTGTCAGGTTTGACTGGTGCAACTTTTTTGCTGGGCGATCCAGGGCCCCTCTTTGTCCGAACGAGTGGGGTTTAAGTCCTTCTGGGGGCCTACCCAATTCTTTGGACCCCATGCCGGGGGCTGCGGCGTCCGCCAGGGGTTCTGAGTCTGCTCGAATTGGCCCCGAATCCTTGATCAAGTAGGCATGCCTCAAAGGGGAATCCAGAATCACAGGGGGGAAGCCCACACCATTCTCAACCAAGGGTCTTTCCTTCAGAGCACAACCAAAAACCCAGGGAACACAGCAGGTGGTTAAAAGGTACAATAGTTGGAAAGAAAGCAGAATGCCCTTCAACATTTGGGAGCGTGTGTGTGTGTGTGTGTGTGTCTTATTGAGGCTCGGTACCCTTTTCAGATTGGTTTCAAGCAAACCCAAAACATGGCGATTTGGTCCACCGTGGTGTGACCCGAATCGCCCGAAGAGGACCTGCAGGGAAACAAATGGCTTGCCCATTAAACCTACAACATGTCGAGCCATCCACTTTTTGCTCGTGGGTTCCGGCTTGGAGCAGCCTTCCATCAACAAAAATGTATTATTTGTGGGGCTGGAAGCACTCGCGACAGCCTTTTGCGACCTGCTATTGCTACTGTGTTGACCGGGAATGTCCAGCCATCCTTAGATGTCCTTTTCTTTTCTTCTTTTTGCAAGGAACCGCAGTTCTAAATTTTATGAAGGGCTTTGCCCAAGGGGCCTGTATTGTCATGAAGCAACTTGAGGGTCCGCCTGCTTGCCGACTCCGCGGCGGACGTCCGCGGAACAGCTGCCGGAAAAGCCCGCCGAGACGCGCCGGGTCCGTTCGCATTCGGGGTCACAGGTGTGTCAATGATTTGTAGACGAATTTGCCCGGGTTTGTCGTATCTTTGGAGAAATGGTACGATGTTTCTTTGGCAAAGATTAGGAAAAGAACTGGTCAGAGAGATGTTTGGTGTGATGTTTCTTTGGCAAACACTAGTAATCAACACGCGGCGACCAAACCCGAAGGACGTTCGAGATGATCATATTTACCTGCATTCGCATGAACGTGAATTCAGGGCTATGGGGGGGAGGGGGGGGCTTTATTGACCCCACAAAGCGTTGAGGGCTTATCCCAGGCTTATCCGGGCTTATCTCGCATAGGCCCCAACAAACTGAGGGCCCCATGATGTATAGGAAAAAGGTGCAGACACGCACGCACTGCAAGGCACATGCATGTGTCGAGCGGGCTGGCTTGTTCCTGTGGGCGAATGCCAAGACTGCAACATGGATCCGATGCCTGCGACGTTCAACGTGGTTGCGACCAAGCGACAGTGCACTGCCCCATGCCACTTTCATCACACTCTGCATCCAACCAGTCAGCGCTCCCCTGCAAATTAACATGGACATGGAGTCAAGCCGGCCCCTTTCAACTAATCCTTCAAGATGTACTTTGTAGTCTGCAGGGGAGTACCCACCATCCCAGCAGCACATACACACATACAGAGACGTATGTTGTGTATATTTTGTTAATGTTGAAACGCATGTGGAAACATGAGCTGTGTTTGGAATGCTGGCATGTGCCATTTTGGCTCAAGCATTGTCTGGGTTCTGTTTGAAAACTTTGTGCTTTGACACTTTCGAACCTAACCCCGATCAAGCAATGGCTTCCTCGGCAACCTCGGCCACTTCCTTTGAGCTGATTGAGGACCAGACACTCACCGTGGAGGAGGTTGAAATGGCCAGCCAGGAGGCCCAGGAAATTCGCACACGCGAGGCGGCAGTGGCGGCCGGCTTGGTTTTGGACGAGCCCGAGGCCCCCCCGTCGGCTTCGGCTACCGATGTGATGAAGGACCTCTCCAGTGCTCTGGAGCGTCTCCGTGTGGCTTTTGCCACACCGACTTCCGGCTTGGGTGCCCCTGGCCCCGCCGAGGAGGATGACAAGGACATGGAAGACGCGGACGTCACGGAGCGGGCCACGCCACCGGAGGAGGCACAGACGCCACCCACGAAAAGGCTGAGGGGTTTCGTGGCGGCTTCCCAGAAGACCACGGCTCAGGTTAACAAACCGGTCTCCTTGGTGCCGGTTGAGGGCCGACCCGGTTATTTCAAGCTGGTGGACCTCCCAGACCTTTTCCCAGTCCTTCCGGCATCAGCGGCCACTTTGCTAAGGGACATCACGGTGGAGGAGGCGGTCTCCCTGTTCCACAAGTTTGTCGGGAAGAATCTCACGGAGGACCTGGTGATTCGCATCCCGGAGGCTTATGTCCCGATGAAGATCCAGATCCGGCAGGAGGAGGTCTGGGCCTCGCAGTTCCAGAGGAACAAGGCGTGCATTGGCACCCAGCGAATGCACAGGCTCGATGCAGGCCATTCCGATTACAAGTTCATGTGCAAGGCATGCGGCACGGGGTGGCCAGAGGCAGCCAAGCAGTGCTGGGTCTGCCCAGGCAAGGAGTTCGTCCCCTTCCAGGCACCCTCGGCCACCTATGAGGCGGACGGCATCACGCTCATCGTGATTTCAAACCCACCTGTATCCACCAGCGGGAATGAGGAAGCCTGGGTGCCGCTGGCCCCGGTGGTACCCGGGCACAGGCCGACCGCAACTTGGTGGACGGCACTGTCCTGGGGAGAGCCCCTCCGAAAACGGACACGGCAGATGAGATCACCATGGCAGACGCGGTCCCGCTTAACAGGCGGGTGGACATCCGGCAGGAGATCCTGTCCATGGCGGCGGACGACGAGGCGCTGAAGGTCCGGGAATGCCAGGAGATCAAGGTCAAAGTGCAGCGGTCCCTGAAGGAGGCGGAGGCTCAGAGCTTCCAGCTCTACCACCCCCAGGTGGACCAGGCGATCCGGAAGAAGGAGGAGCTGCATAAGGCCTTGCGGGAGCATCGGGAACCGACTCTGGAGGAGGCCTCGGCCAGGCGGCGGCACAAGGAGTTGGTCACTGAGGAGATGCTGGACAATGAGATGGCTATCCTGGCGCCTCTCCAGGAGGGAATGCAGGCCCTGCCGTCAGAGGAGGTGGCCAATGAGGGAGCCCGTGCCCTCAGGAAGGTCAACCTGGAGCGGTTCAAGGCCAAGCTGAGAGACCAGTACCTGGAGGGGAAGGGCGTTGACGCCAGCCAGGCATTGGCTGAGGCGATGGGCTCCATTCAGGAGGCTCAGGCGGCGAACAGGCGCACCCAGGACACCAACCAGGCATGGATGCTCAACCACACTCTCAAGCCCTTGGAGTGTCGGCGTGGCCGGATGATCTCAGGCAGGCCCTGGAGAGGGGGCTGTTCTGCCCCCTGGAGCTGGATGACCCCGAGGACATCCAGGTGGGGGACATCAAGGAGAAGTATGTCCCCTACATCAGGATGCTCAGAGCGTCGCAGAACCCATGGCACCAGGAGGCGCTGCTGGAGGAGATGCCCGATCTGGTGGCACCGGCCCCCCCCAAGGGTGCCACTGGCCCCGGGGGGGACCAGCCAATGAGCAAGACCTGGACTCGGAGGAGGGCAAGCTGTCCTTGATCCTCTGAGGCACCAGGGAGAGCTCCGGATGTTTGGCCCCGGGCGCTGACCAGCAGTTTAAGCTCACGCCGGAGGAGCTCCTGGCCCTTGAGCGCAGGACTCACCCACTCACGTGCGAGCAGGACCACATCGACCCAGTCATCTACACGGCCTTGGAGATCCGAGCGCAGGTGAACCGGGGCGAGCGCCCGGCGCCGGAGCAGGTGGTGGGGATCTTCTGGGCGAAAGGTGATGGGGTGTTTTGGACCAGACAGACGAGAACGTGGGACCTGCCGAGCCTGACGGGAGTGTACGCCCACAGGTTCACTTTCAAGTACATCTACTCGGCCTGGACCACTTTCCCGTTGATCGTGAAGACGCAACGCCGGGGCCGCAATGCGGAGGGCTCGACCTCGGACAAGTGGATGGGCAACATTCTCCAGATGAGGAAGGAGGCGGTGCCCTTCCTGGAGAGCCTGGGCATCCCCAAGCCGCGCAGCAAGGAGGAATGGAGCTACATCTTCAAGGAGATGGGGACCTTTTTGGCGGCCAAGAATTTCATCGTCAACTGCCCGTTGCCCGTGATGGAGATCCCAGTGGCCCCCATCCATGACAGTAAGGAGGCGCTGCGTTTCAGGGCGGTGTGCGACGAGCGGATCACCCTCCCGCTGGCATCGCTGAAGGCCTTCGACTCGGTCTACACCAAGTTGGTGGCGGGCCTGAGCAAGTCTTCAATGGTGGAGGTGAAGGTCAACTGGCGCTGCAACGTGGTCCACGACTGGGTCGAGCAGGTCCCGCAGGCGGCAGCTGGGTTGCCCCCCCCCCTTGGGTGCCTCTGGCTCGGGGGAGGACTTCCGCAAGGAGGCATTGGACCTCCTGGGGGACAGTAGGTTCCGGACACTCAGGCAACATTGCCTGGTCTACGAGAGTCTCCGGAAGAGAGGCTTCACAGTGATTCCATGGCAGGAACGACATGTCCGCTCTCTCCTTAACCAGCTCGCCGAAGAGGAGGTCACCCCGTGCAAGCTACGGCAGGTGTGGAACACCCTCAAATGGTTTTCCAAGACCTTCGGGTTGCTGAAGATAGACGAGCTCCATCGCCTCAAGTCCAAGAAGAGCTCATTGGAAGAGGCGCTCACGGACACGGTCACCCGGCCACAGCGCAAGGCGGTGGTCCCCAGCAAAGAGGTCATATGGGCTCTGGAGGAGGGGGCCGGCTACGATCACCTGGGTGCCACCGGCCCCGGTACGCAGGCGGCCCCGGGGAGGAGCAGACACGAGGTGCTGGACGCTTTCATCCTGGGTTTCGCTCGGTTCCAAGTGGGGTGCAGCGCTCGTTTCAATGACCTCCAGCATGTTCACCCCCCTGGTGGACTACCTGGGTGGCCTCGGTCAGGCGACTGGTATCAGTGAGCAAAGACTTTGCAGGGCTGATCCCGAGACCTTCCACACCGGAAAGGGCTCTGAGATGGCTCAAGGATGCTATTCTCCGTCGGGGAGTTACCCCGGGGTTGGTGAAGCCGCTGACGTGGCACTCATTCCGAGTGTTCATCCCGGACTGCGCTTTCCAGATGGGGATCCCCCGGGAGCGCCGCATGTACTTAGGCAACTGGCTCACGGAGAGCACAGCAGACGTCTACGTGCGGGAGAAGCGCAACGTTGTGGTGGAAATTT